GAGGGGCGCGCGCAATCCAAATGCGCAGCCCCGCGTCGAAGGCGGCATTTTTGGCCGGGGCGCCCGCGCGTGAAAATCACCGCGCGGCAGGGTTCCCTGAGACGAGCTGCTGCGACGTCGAGGAAGGGGCGCGCACTTTCGCCCGCGCCCCGCCGCTTGACATTCGGAATGGGGCTCCGAGCCGCCCGCCGGAGGGCGGCAGGGCCGCCGCGCCACTTCCGACGGGAGACAGAAAGCCGCGGGGCCAGGGGCGGAGTGGCGGAAGCAAGGGCGAACGACGCGCGGCGGAAACATGGGCGACGAAGCGGCGCGCGCCCAGCGCGACTACTCGGCGACAAGCGGGGCGCAGCAGGCGACTCATCGACGCGCGACGAGAGCGACCGATCGGTGCGCGACTGGGCAAACAGCTACATAATGGCGCGTGCCCGACGCGTGGCCGCCCGAATCAGGAGACTGCACCGCGGCGCCCTACTCGCGCGCCGCCAGGCAACCTCGCGGGAAGCTCGCGCCGCGCCGCCATGGGTCCAGCGCGTTGCCGCCGAGCTGCGCGCAGCGAGTTCCCCGCGCAATCTTGCTCCGGCCCCCCGGCCATGCGGGCCGCGAGCCGTTCCTTGAAAGCGCCCTCCAAGCCGGCCAGACGCCCAGCCGAGTCAGGGCCCTCGGCTGCTTTGCGCTGGCCAGTCGGGCCTGTCCGGTAGAGTGCGAGCGCCAGCTGGTCGCCGCCCGGGCGTTGGCAGGGATCACAGGAAGCCGATCGCGACCTGGCGTGGCGCCATTTCTGGGCGAGCTCGCCCCTTCCATTTTTCTATAGGCCCAGGTGAAGTGGCCCGAGTGATGACGAGTCCACGAGGGGTCAGCCCACGCCTCCTCGACCATTAACCAGAAGCTACCCTGCGCTAGCCGGGCGAGTCAAGGTCTGCCCCAAGACGGCGCCTCCGCAGCGGGCGCGCGGGCCGTGAGCGGCGGAGGACTGGAAAGAACGCGTTTGTCGCGCGCCGCTGCCGCCGTCGCCCGCAGCGCCGGCTGCCCATCCGCCGTCCGCGACGAAATCGACAAGACAGCCGGCGTGAAAACCCCGTGGGCTTCTGATCGCTCGCTGGCGCCGCCCGCAGCCGCGCTGTCCGAGCGGGGGGGGGGCGGCCGCGCGCGTCCACCCGGACCAGCGGCCCCGTTGTCTCACTGGCCAGCGCGGGCCAGGAAGGCGCCGGCGAGCTCGCCCGAGCGCCCGCGCCGGCCGGGAAACGACGGCGTCGTCCTCGTGTTCCGCCCGACGGGGACGTTGGGCCAGCTCCCTCGCGGGGCCTTCTCCGCCCTCGCGCGCCCGCCCGCCGCCGCGGCGCTCGACCGGGCCCGGGCTGTCGCGGTCTGGCGACGAAGGCCGCGGCGGCGCAAAGCGGCCGTTAGCCGCGAGCCGGCGCAGGGCAAGCTCGCCCTGCCCCCCTGAGTCTGGGATGCTGTCGTCAGGCAGTGATCGGTCGGAGTGACGTGGATACAGGCATCCTTCCTCCTCGTCTCTCCCAGATCTCTGCGCGTCATCCGTCTCGTCCTCGTCCGCTTGCGATTGGGCGGGGGGCCCGCTTGAGCGGTCTTTGGCGGGCGAGGCTCGCGCGGGATCGAAAGGATTGGCGGCGTGGGGGCGACGAGATTGGCGACGTAAATTTTGACTGGATAGATGGCGTAGGCCGCGGACTGGACTTCCGCGACCACGTCGACGGCCTCCTTCATCGACGTCCCCCTCCTCCTCCATGACCACCTACTCGTCGCCCTCCTCGCCGTCCGCATTGCGCGCGACGACGGGGGCATTCCTGGCCACTTCCACCTCTTCCCAGAACTCCGCAGTGACCTACCTCCCCCGCCTCCTTCGTGCCGCCCCTGTCCCCGATCAGAATCTCAAACTCCCTGACCTCCTCCTCGCCCTCGTCGACCCTTCTAATGCCCGCCAGCACGACCACCTCCGCCTCGCCCTCGACGTCCCCCTGCGCCTCCGTGCCCTCCTTGACCGCGCCGCCACCGACAGGGCCGGCTGCCGCTGCCCCTCTCTCGCGAGCGCTGGTCAGGGTGCTGTAACTGAGGTCGGTGGGCCCCAGCACCGCGCCCAAAATCTCGCTGTGCACGTTCGCCCCGCGCATGCTGATCCGGTGATGTAGCAGATGAGGGCGGGCCCCAGCTTCGCTCCCAGCTTTTCGCTGGGCAGAGCCATGGCTGGCCGCCGCTGCCCCTGCCTGTCCTTCTCGCAAGAGCTGATCGGGATGCTGGAGTAGACGATTGCGGGCCCCGTAGATGACGGCGCCCGGTCGCCGAGGCGCCCGCCGCGAGCTGGGCGGCCTGCGTCAGCCCTCCAACGGTGGCCCAGATGGCGGCCAGAGCCGCCGCGGCGGCGGCCGCGGCGCGGGCGCAGGCGGAGATCGCGGCGGCCGCGCCGCGCGCGTCAACTGCGACTAGCACGCCGACGCCAGGGGCAGGGTCGGCAGCTTCGACCGCGCTGGCAACGCCAGCGGCGCCAGCCGCGGGGCAGCGCACGCGGGCCGCGCCGACGCGCCCGCGGGCGTCGGCAGCGTCCGGGGCGCTCGCAGAGGCGAGAAGACGAAGAGCCCAGCTCGCGCCGACCGCCCGGAGGGCGTCAGCAGCGAGAGCCGAAGCGGCGGCGCCAGCGGCGCTGGAAGCGCTCGCCGCAGCAGGCGCGCCGCCGAGAGCGGCGGCCGCGCCCGTCGCGCAAGCAGCGCCAGCCGCGCCAGCGGCGACAAGGAGCCCTGGCGCGCCGGCCGCGTCAGCGACGTCGATCGCGAAGACGCCGTGAGCAGCGTCGGCAGCTTCGACCGTGCGGACGGCGCCAGCAAGACGGCGCACGCGGGCATGCCCGGGGGCGTCGGCAGCGTCCGGGGCGCCCGCAGGGGGCGAGAGGGCGAGCAGCAAAGCCCGCGCCGACCGCCCAGGGAGCGTCAGCAGCGAGTGCCAAGGCGGCGGCGCCAGCAGCGCTAGAAGCGCTCGCAACAGCAGGCGCGCCGCCGAGAGCGGCAGCGCCCGTCGCGCCAGCAACACCAGCCGCGTCAGCGGCGCCAGAGAGCCCCGGCGGGCCCGCGTCGACCAGGGCGCCGGCGGCGGCGGCAGCCAAGCGGCGACCGGCAGCGGCACGGGCCTGCCGCCGTCGCTGCGCCGCGGCGGTCTCCATCATGCCGGGGCCTCAGCGCCGCCCCTGAGCCAGGGGCGTGCTCGAACTCAGACAGCTTGAGCCAAGGGCTTCAGCCAAAGGGACTACGGACTCACGCACGCACACACACACACACACATAGGCACGCGCGCGCGCTACTCACACTCCTCCTCCTTCTCCTCCTGCTCCTCCTCCTCCTCCTCCATCAACACTATCATGGGAATCATCATCACCACCATCATGATCATGATCATGATCATGATCATGATCATCATCATCATCATCATCATCATCATCATCATCATCATCATCATCATCATCATCATCATCATCATCATCATCATCATCGTCACCATCGTCACCATCATTATCAGCAGCAGCAACCATCACCACCATCATCATCATCAACATCATCATCGTCGCCATCGTCAACGTCATCATCATCCTTATCATCATCCTCATCACCTTTATCATCAACGCTCCCATCGTCATCATCGTCATCACCGCCATCATCATCCTCATCATCATCATCATCATCATCATCATCAACATCAACATCATCATCATCATCATCACCGTCGCCATCGTCATCGTCATCATCCTGATCATCATCCTCGTCACCGTTATCATCAACACTCCCATCGTCATCACCATCATCACCGCCATCATCACCATCATCATCATCATCATCATCGTCATCATCATCATCATCATCATCATCATTATCATCATCATCATCATAGTCATCGTCATCATATTCATGATCATCGCCTTCATAAACGTCGTACAAATAGTCCTGCTGATCGTCATTGAATGTCACATAGTGGTCAGCATCACAACCATAAAATCATCAGCCCAAACATCAGCATCACCATTACTGCCACCACTATCGTCACCATCAGCATAAGTATCATCATCCTCGTCGTCATCATCATAATCATGATCATCGTCGTCGTCGTCATCGTCATCCTCCTCATCATCGTCAGCGCTAGCATCATCATAATCATCATCGACATCATCATAATCCTTATCATCATCCTCACCGTCGTCATCATCATCATCATCATCATCATCATCATCATCCTCATCATCATCATCATCATCATCATTACCAGCATCATCATCATCTTCATGATTGTCAACATGATGATGCACATCATCACCATCGTCTTCATCGTCGTCGTCATCGTCGGTCGTCATCTTCATCATATTCGTCATCGCCATCACCAACATCATCAGCATCGTCGCCGTCATTCGCAACATCCTCCTCCTCATCATCATCCTCCTTCTCCTCCTCATCTTTTTCGTCATCATCACCATCATGACCACCACCACCACCACCACGATCATCATCACCATCACCACCATCATCATCATCGTCATCATCGTCATCATCACCAGCAGCAGCAATAGCGTCGCCATTACCACCACGATCACCCTCAGCAGTATCACCATCATCACTACCACCGCCACCACCATCATCATCACCATCACCATCACCATCACCATCATCATCATCATCAGCATCAGCATCAGCATCAGCACCAGCATCAGCATCAACAGCAGCAGCATCGTCATGATCATCCCTCCCGCCCTCCATCCTCCGCACTCTCTCATCCTCATGTCTACCCCCTCCATTATTCTCCTCTTCTTCCTTTTCTTCCGCTTTCTTCCTCCTCCTCCACCTCCTTCTCTCCTCCTCCTCATCATCATCTTCCTCCTCCTCTTCCTGCTCCTCCTGCTCCTCCTGCTCGTCCTCCCCTTCCTCGTCGTCGTCCTCCTCCTCCTCCTCCTCCTCCCCTCCTCCTCCTCCTCCTCCCCCTCCTCCTCTTCCTCATCCCCCAACCGAGGTTCCTCGCTGGCGCTAGCGCCCTCTGACGACAGCTGGCCCAACCCGTCCCGCGACCGCCGGCTGAAGCCGAACAACCGCCGCTGGGGCTTCGACGACTCGGCCTCGTCGCCAGGGGGGGAAGCTTGGGGCCCTCCTTCCTCCATCCCGTTTCCTTTGAAATAACTACTCCTTGTCGCACCCCCAGACGTATTTGTAGGACAGTCTGGGCGTTTCGCCCGGGACCTCCTCACACGTATGACCCTGAAGCTTGAAATTCGCAAAAGCTTCACGAATGGAAGGCGGGTAGGTTTCAGAATGTGGCCCTCTTCTTAGCGCCGCGCATCCTCGCCATAAGAATCTGCAAGGATTTCAAGGTTGGAAATCGGGCCGTTTTCAAACTGTGGCTCTCGCTTCAGCGCCGCGCACATTCGTCCTAAAAGTTTGCAACAGCTTCAGGGACGGAGGTCGGGTGGTTTTCAAAGTGTGGCTCTCACCTTGGCGCCGCGAGCACTCGTCGCAAGAATCTGCAAGAGCTTCAAGGATAAAGGGCGTAAATGTGGACTTGCCTTTAGCGCCGCGCGCATTCGTATTACAAGTTCACAACCGTTTCATGGATGGTTTTTCTAGATGTACCTATCGCCTTAGCACCGCGCGCATTCGTCTTAAATGGTCTACGACCGTTTCAAGGGTTAGTATGGCTGCAGTCCCAAGAACGGTGTTCTTACACGGCTTAGGATTGTCAGGACGCAGCGGTCACATTGATTCGCGATGTTCAAATTTCAAGGATCGTGTTTTGGCACGGCGTTAATTTGTCAGGGCGCAACACTCTCGTTGATTCGCGGTGTGTGTGTGTGTGTGTGTTGAAATCCCGGAGACTGTGCTTTGGCACGACTGAAGATTCTCAGACGGTTGCCTTCCAATGGGGCACTTTTAGCCATGGAAAAACCCAGTGACCCACGAAGAGGGAAGTTGAAGGGAGGGTGCATTAAGCAACATCGTTGATGGGCTTGGGGGTTACACTGCTGCTCCGCCTCCTCCTCCTCCTTCGCTTTCTCCTCTGTCTCTCGGGTAGCACTGGTAGCACTGAAAAGCGCGGCCGCGCGAGCACAGCAAACGCGCGCCTGACAAGGGTGTGACCCAGCCTCGAACATGTTACCCCCAATCGAACCCACACATCAAAACAGTTTACGGGGGCTGGGCCGACATCAAACAGGGCCTCCTCGGGACGTTCCAGTTGCAGCTGCACGCGTGGCGTGCGGCTGGCGCACCGACTCCGTGACATTTGTCAGGTCCCTCGCACTGGCGCGCACAAGATGTCCCGACGAAATGTCAAGAGCATCGGCGCGCAGAGAATACCCCGACAATTATCAAGAGTATCGTTTCGCATATCCCCTGGGACAAGAAAGAGGTCTGTAACAGGACGCACAAATCAACGCACCTCCTCATCCCCTTCCTCGCCTGTCTGCCCCACCCCCTGCGATCTATCACCCTAGATGGGGGCTGGGCGTAACGGTCTGGACGTTCAGACCGCTAATGATCACCCCAAGTGGGTGACTCTGGAGAAAGCGAGGGTGGTCCCAAGCATTTCGCCCCGCTGTAGCTTTCGGAATTCACTGCTGACCCGGGGGGGACGGGCTGCCAGAGAGCCCCTCGCATGCTGACGCCCGCGGTGGTCTTCACTGTGGCATGGCTGTTGGAGCTTGGTACCCCTCCCCATGCTGTAGCCCCCACACCGAATGCAATACATGCTTGGCAGGCTGCTCCCGTCAAAGCATCCCATATCGAGGGAATGGTGAAGGGCTCGGCGCTGATTAATTGCCTCTGTGAGGGACTGAAGGGATTCTTGAGAGCGCTGCCTCCTGCAATGAAGGATGTTGCGTTTTGAAATACGGTGAGCAGCAGCGATAGCCGTGAGGGGCGATGCGTTTTAAACACGTGGTGCAACGATAGCCCTTGCCTGTCCAAGTTGGGGTGTGGGAGGGGACAAAGTGGCGGGGAGGAGGAGGGGGGCGAGGAACCTTAGGGGTCGCGTGCAGGAGGCCAGCTGGCAAGCACCCTCCCAGCACCAATCACGAGCTCCAGAAACCCTTCAAAAGCAACCGTCGTCTCTGATCGGGTGGTGGGATCAAGGTGATGCTTGCCAGCGGCCTCTTAGGTTTTAGTATCGGCCATTATGTTGCTGAGGATACGAACGCGGTCCTGTTCAGAGACAGCGCCGTCTAGGCTACGATGAGCTTTGGTATGTGATAAAATAGTCCCATGTGCTGGCGTGGCATGGACCAATACCTTCCAGTAGTGGCTGAACAAGGTGGTGCCTTTCAAACTTGAGGCTGGCTCTGTGACCCCGCGGAAGAGGGCCCTGCAATCCACACCAAATTCTGGAGACTGCGCCAGATCCGAACGCAGCCTGGCCATGACAAGCTCAGAATGCTCACGATGGACCGCATGTTGGGGCAGAGTCCGCGGCTGAGGAGACGAAGTGGCGCGTAGGAGATTGCCATCATGATCTATCTGGCATGCTGCAAACCCTCCTCTCCCCAGCATATCCATCCCGGGCTTGAGGCGCGAGCCATCAACAAAAGTGAGCCAGCTGGGATCGAACTGAAACTTCTCGCAAGGCCCTTGCTTATCTCTGTAGATAAACCCCCAATACACCACTGGGGGGTCGACGTCAGGGGCAGCAAGCCACAGATGCGCACAGGGCGGACGGGCGTGACCCGCAGCAACTGCCCGCCCAATCTTGGTTTCGGAAGGGCGCGCAACGAAGGCACTCCCAATCGGTGGAAAAGGGTGTTCAAGTACCAACCATACTTGCAATGCCGGCATGCTGGGGAGATATCAGAACCGCACTTGGACAAGAGGGTGGCAGAAAACTAGACAATCCCCCAAGAGCCCACGCACGCACGATAGATCTCGAATGCTGAGCTTCTTCCTGGCCTGCCTTAGCACTCGGCAGATCTGGATTCTCCACATACCCTGATCGAGCACTGCTTGCCCGTAGGGGTGGGGATGCACGCCAAGCCTGGATACAAGAGCAGCCTGCAGACTACGAGCCTTAATGCTTTCATGAAAAAGGGAACTGAGCCAGTGGGGAGGGAAGTCAAGGAGAGAATCGGCCTGCCCCTTTGGGCTCATAAGATGGGTGGCGTCCTGGAACGACCATCCCGCCTGAGAGCCCTGCGTCCCGCGCCCATGCTGGCAAACCCGTAACACGCCTTGTGGCCCCATAAAAAGCTCCACCGGATGCCCCGATGGCTGCGTTCACATGCGTCCCGCGCCAATATCGGCACAGCACTCACACGCTTCGTGGCCCCATAGGGAGCTCCACCGAAGGCCCCGGTGGCTGCGTCCACATCCGTCCCGCGCCGATTTCGGCACACCGTCACACGCTTCGTGGCCCCATTGGGAGCCCCACCGAAGGCCCCGATGGCTGCGTCCACATACGTCCCGCGCCCACGTTGGCACATCCCTCACACGCTTCGCGGCCCCATAGGGAGCTCCACCGAAGGCCCCAAAAGCTGCGTCAACATGCGTCCGCGATTTCGGCACACCCCTCGGCCCCATAGGGCGCTCCATCGAAGCTCGCACTGGCGCCGCCCGCGTGCGTCCCGCGCCCATTTCGGCGAGTCACATGTTTCGGGCGAAAGGCAGACTAGAGAACAATGCGGACGGCGTCGGAGGTCGAGGCCTTTTCAAGATCGATGCAAAGACCAATTCGGGAATACGCTCTGGCCAGAAGAAGAGGACGACGATCCGGAGGACGAGGAGGACCAGGAGGAGGAGGAGGAGGAGGGCGACGAAGGAGGACCCGGATCTGGATCCGGAGGAGGAGGAAGAGCGCCTGGGACGATCTGGATGCCCCAGTGGCTGCGCCTGGGACGACCTGTGCGCGTCGCCAGGACTCCTTCGCAGTTATCAGCGCGCGTCGCGGGGAGTCCGCGCTGCGCTCCGCACAGCACCTCGCTCGCCCGTCGTCGCTCTGCCCAGCGGCCAGCGCCTGGCCCGCTGTCGGCCAGCCAACTAGCTCTCTTTGCTCCGCGCAGCGGACGACCCGCACGCGTCGCCTGGAACCCTGCGGGGCAACCAGCGCATGTCGCGGGGACTCCGCGTTGCGCTCTGCCCAGTGGCGCGGTCACCAGGGCGCGAGGACACAGAGGGGAAAACATCTGAGAGCCCACTGTCCCGCTCCGTCCCCCCCACCCCCCAAACCTCTGTCTGCAGTGCCCCGCGCCTCGTTCTTCCTGCGGCGCGGTGCCTGTGAAAGCTACTCGGAGTTTGCCCCCTTCCTTCGTCTCATTTCCCTCCCGGTACTCGCAGCTGCATATTGTTGGGTCCTTCGTCAGGCTACTTTTCCCCAGCCATCCTGTGGTGTTGGCATCTCGTTTTGAAGAGACAGCGCCCCGCGTTTTTTCTCTTCTTCCTCCACATAGGGAGCTCCACCTCAGGCCCCAGCGGCGGTGTCCTCATGCGCCCCCCCCCCCCGCACAGCACAGCGCTTCGTGGCCCCATAGGGAAGTCCATCTAGGATGGATAGAGCGCGTTTCACGTGCGCTTGCCTTGGAAACATGCGGCGGCGCGTTTCGAACCGGTGGGTGGGCCCCCCCTCTCCCAAAACTCGGCGCCGTCGATCAGAACCAGGCGGACTCCCCTCCTCCCTACCCCCCCCCTATATCCCGAACCCCTCCTAACCCCCTCCCTCTCCGAGGGGGGGGGGGGGTCCAACCCCCCCCCGCCTGGCGCCGGCGCCGGCGCTGGCGGCGGCTAGCAGCGCCGGCGGCGGGGACGCAGCGACGATGACCAGAGAGGGCCCACAGGCCGCAGAGGGAACACGCAAATCGCCATATCGAGCCCTCGCATGATCCTCAGACGCCCCCGAGAACCTTCTGACGAGATCTCAAGAGGCAACCATTAGAGCCCTGACCCACAGCCAAAACAGTGGCGGGAAGAGCCGAAGGCCACACCACCACCACCACAGACCACCATACAGGGCAGTTTTTAACACATGGGATTTTTTTTAATACAGGATTTGTAATACATGACTAATTTATAATAAGTTGATGCATGAACTCATCGATGTTCTTAATACTAAATCCCTGCATTTCTAAAACATGATCCGCACACG